ATCATTTTCGCTTCAATTTAGTCACTAATACTACACGTTTATGTCATTCTTGGTCACTCGCCGTCCAGTTCCGTTATATCTGCCCTACGTGACAGTCAACAGTTAAGTTTGACTAGTCAAATGGTGACGTGACAATAAAAAAATATTATTTTTAATATAAAATAAGAAAAATGAAAAAAAAGAAAAGAAAACCCTACGCACTAACTCCGCCCCTCTCACTTTTTCTTGTGTTGCCGCCAATACCATATGAGCCGCCCCTAACTCCCCTGCCTTTCTCCCCTATTCCAAGAAGACCCACCGTCGCCGAGCGCCGTTTTTAGTTGCGAGCAGTTCCCGTGGCGGACTTGATTTTCCCAGCCGAGGCCGCCGATTGTGAGGAGGTGGAGAAGCGAGAAGAGGTGACGAAGCAGACACAGAACTCCGACCATCTCCCTTTCAGCCATGTCGTCGCCAAATCTGAACGCTGACGATCTCTCCTTCAATTGCCACCATCAAAGCTGTCCGATCCAAACTTAGTGTCCTCCTCTGTTTTCTTCTCCTTTGTCGTATGATTCTTGCTATCCATCGAATCACCCACATTTTTTATTTCACATTTTAGTAACCAATTGTAAATTTTATGTCGAATTGATTTGTGAAATCGTGTCTGGTTGGCGCAGCCACAGTGTGGTAAAAAGTGCTTCGAATTCAGCTAAAGAGCAGACTTCGGATGTCGGGACGGCAATAAAGCCTCTTCTGGTTGAGACCGACGTCATCTGCTTCTTGCCGTCGGCGTCTGGTTCGTTGCATCGTCGTCATCTGTCTCAACTCCACATTTGAATTCGTAGCGGCGGCCACGATTTCGACAACCTCTCGTACATCTTAGCCTCTCCTGCGTCTTAGCCTTCCCATTCATCCTCCTCGATCTGTTAAGCCTCCGGTTGGTTAGCGTCGATGTTGAACCCGAAACTACTTGTCGAATCTGTCGCAACGCTCGGCGAGGGATCTGTTTTGGCCTTTGGGGTTAATGGCGTCGGGTTTCCGAGGGGAGGGTTCGATTTTGGTTTTTCCAATTTTTCCATTTTAAATTTTCCATTTTTATAATATATTAAATAATTTTGAATTAAATTATGACGTGGCTGCAAAGGTGCATCCATGTGTCGGTCAGGTTGTTGCCACGTCACCATTTTAACAGTCAAATTTAACTGTTGACTGCCACATAGGACAGATTTAACGGAACTAAACGGCGAGTGACCAAAGATGATATAAGTGTGCAATATCAGTGGCTAAATTGAAGCAAAAATAATTCGAGTGGCTAACCTGTTACAATTAGATAATATGGGTGGCCAAACTTGCAATTCACCCACCTTGTAATCTTTGCTAGTTGAACTCGGGTTGTTTATAACCTTGTAATCTACGCTAGATGTTTTGTTTATAACCTCTCAATTGGCTTACCACTATAGGTGTCAAAACATAGCCGGATCCGATTAACCCGCCCGATCAACCCGACCTGCAACCCGACCGCAACCTGAATTGACAAAAAGTCAACAACCCGTAACCCGCCGGACCTGCAATCCGATCGACCCGCAACCCGACTAACCCGCAACCCGATTAACCTGAACCCGATGGACCTGCAACCCGACTGACCCGCAACCCGATTAACCCGAACCCGATTAACCCGAAGTCGACTAACCCGTAACCCGACCGACTCAACCCGAACTTCACCTAGTCCACTTGAATAATTATTATAATATACAATACATAGTTTTTCAAAATAAAGTTTTTCAAACCGAACTTCACCAAGTCCATCCTCAAATAACTCTCTATCAGCAAACGGTAAGCTTCAAATTAGTTCCCACTAGCTATCGGCCAATTCGCTAGCACGAGTTCCCCTTTACTGCACCTCCACGAAGCTGCCACATTGTGCCTATGCTTATTACTCCGAAATAATTTAAAGAGCCGTTGTTGGAAGCTTCGTCCAACTCCACGAACCCTCCATCTTCAGCTTCATCGTATATTCTTAGGATAATTCGAACAATTTTACAAATAAATCGTTTGGCAACAGTTTACTGAAGTTATTTGGGCAATGAGTTATTTTGAAATAACTCCTTTTATCACTATGCTTTTGCCAAATACCACACGTCAAATACCACATTTTCATGGTTATACTAAACGAGATACTTTAATCCAATTACACTACTCAAATAATACTAAAATATCAAATAAACAATTAATGGTGTCTTTTGGTTGTAAATGTTGATATCACCATTACTATTAGCTAGCGGTATTTCAAATTTCAATTGTGGTGAGCGGGTGATGATGAAAAGTTGGGCGGTGAATGGTGATTGTGAAATTTGTAGCCAAACCTCTAAAAAAAATAAAATTTAAGTTCGACTAATAATGTGAAACTAATTTAAAAAAATCATTTTGTATAGGTGAAAAACCAACGTAATTTATAATTTTGTGTTGGTTTAAACCAACACTAATAGCTAAAAAAATTGTGTCGGTAACCGACGCAAACCCGACACGAATCATAAAATTTGTGTCGGTTCACTTAACCGACACAATACAACCGATACAAAACACTTTTTTGTTGTAGTTAGTTATCTTATCTTAAAAATGTCACTCGAACTATCTTAAATGCAGATTATTTTACATTTTATATCATATACTTAATTATTTATCATTGTGATTATCACAATATTTATAGTTATGAATCAAGAGTTTAGCATTTAGTTACTAAGACATTATCTATAGTAAATCTTATTATAGATAGGGTGGAAGTTTGCTTTGTGGTTTGGGTTAATCTATATTGCTGCACAAAAATGTTGAGATAGGAAAAGTGTTTTTCTTCTTTGCTTAGTGTTTTGTTTACAGAATGTATGATTTGTTAATAATGTATTGATTACAAATATTGATATTACCATTACTATTAGCTAGTGAACTTTACCAGTTAAGATTAATTACATGACAAGTTTGCAAGTCATACAAATTGATTCAACATTTGACTAGTTTTTTTAATTAAGTATATATACAAGGTAGAAAAAATTGGTTAAAAATTTTGAAAAATATTTTAAATTAGTGTAATAAAATGTGTAAGTTGGTAACGAGTAAGTAACTCGATGCGTTGACCCGCACAACCCGCAACCCAATCCGCCCGCAACCCGTCCGGTCCGAAACCCGATGAACTCGAACCTAATTTGCCCGCAACCCGATTGAACCCGAACCCGATCAACCCGCGAGCTGACTCACCCGCAACCCGATTGAACCCAACCCGACGAACCCGCAACCCGACGAACCCACAACCCAATTGAACTCAGCCCGAACCCGCCCGATTGACACCTATACTTACCACTTTCACATATTTGTCCCTCTCCTCTCTCATCTTCATCTAATTGTTTAACTTCCTTCCTGATTCTTTTGTTACCTTGAGAGGTGCAATTGTCTCTTACTAGCTTTCTAGTTTCAAGCTCCGGATTCGCCTCTCTGTTGCGTTACTTCGGGTCCTAATTGCTTGTTAATTGCTTATATTATTTTTATATGTCCTGAATCTTAGCTGACTACCAACGAGTTTTAACTTTGGATCTTGTCCCATTTATCATCGTTTGGGATGGCCATCATATTTATCTTTTTGTATGCTTTCAATCTAGTTTACGTACCAGCTTGCTAAGGTTGCAGTGTTAACTTTTATTCTTGTTTAACTAATTGATGGCGCTGTTATGGTAGCTATACATTTCCCCAAGCTATATTTGGATGCGGTTGCTTGGAATTTTTTCAAAGCTCGCGAACTTGCCTAGTTGTGGCGTGTTTGTTCATTTTGCAGGTGAATTTTCTTATACAGCTGTTCTAGTCCCAAAACTTACGGCAGAGTCAGATGGCTTGATACTGGAGGCCCTGCTGTAGCTTTTGGGGAGCTGATAGACTTTTCTCAAGCCTTGGACGTTGGCGTTGTTTGGTTCGGGTGAAGCTGCGTTGGCTAGTGAGCTTATCCTGAAGCTTTCTTTGGAGGCTAGACCTAGATGTGTTTCCTTTTTCCTTTTGTTGGTTCATTTTGCAGGGAATGGCTGCTTTGCTTTTGCTATCGGCAACAATGATATATCCTCCGGCTTTTCTGGCTTTGGCGTGTGTTGTGTACCCGTTTGTATCCTTTGTTACATCTCTTAGGATACTGAGAGGGTTGTCCATTTAGTGGCTAAAAAAGCTCTTTTATCGGCGGATTGATTAGTTATCGACCACCGCATATGTTTATTTCATTTACTACATAGTTGTAAGCATACTGCATTGTACATCTATCGATAATGATATACACCTATGATAAAAAAAAAAACTAAAATTTTCAATTTTTCAGTTTAAATTAATTTTAAAGAATATTGAATAAATTACGACATTGGTTTGTTCTATCGATCTCTACATCCCGACTCCGCTCCTCTTAACGGTAATATAAAAGGAAATTGAGACACATGCAGGTGCAGCAGCAGCTACAAAACAGAATCTGTGGGCTTGACAAACATGAAACAACTGCTTCTCTATTCTCATCCTGGATTCCGTCCAGTAGCTTAGCCACCATTGTCGAACAATCTTTATTTTATCTTAGTTTCATCACTAAAAATGACGATTTATTTATGTTTCCTTTTCTTTGAGAAAAAGAAGAAAAACGAGTACAAAATTGAAAAAGGTAAAGGAAAACAAATACGCGTTTAATTCAAGCCAGCCCACCTCCTCTGACCAAATCTTATCAACGACAACAACCGAGAAAACTTAATCAATAATGAAACGGAAAAAAATGGTAATAGAAGAAATCGCAGCCGTCTAATCGCCTCGATCACCGCTAAATCCCAGCCGTCCATCGCTCCAGGCCACAGCTTATAAATAGTAACCAGTTTTCCCCCTCTTCATCTCGCATTCGCATTGCCTGATAATTGTGCGATCGTGCTTCTCTCCTCATACGATCTCTCCTTTTCGCCGTCGCTGCCGGCGATTCCGATGATTTCTCTCTCTCTCCCCTTCGTCTTTTCTTTTTTACAACGCTCTCTTTTCGTATTTGCAGCCTCCCGGTGAATATGCTTATGTTGTGATTATAGGTTGTCATCTTTTGCCTTGGCTTCCCTATCGTGGATCTGCCGTAGCCTCTCTGTTACGTTCTTCAGTTTTTTCTCTGGATATGGCTCCTGCTTGTTGATCGATACCTGCGTTCCTCGCCTTCTTGATGATTTTGGTTTGGTCTCCGTTTCTTGCGGATGCGGTAGTCGATGATAATGATTTTATGGTGGTAGATAATATCGATTCTGAATTGGAAAGTTCTGCCCTGCGGTTGATGTGTTGTTTTTGTTGGATGATCTAGGATTTTGAGTTGACGAGAAACTTGCGGCGTTCTTCCAATCTTGGCTGTGTCTCCCGTTCATCTGCAGAGGGCGATGAGTTTTCTTCTTCTCAAATTTTCTTCAATTTGATTCGCGACTTGCTTGTCTGATCGTGGCTATGCGTATCTTGTTCTTGGATCGATGATTCTGCTCTCTGGCTTCTCTAACTGTCGTTGTGTTCGTTGATCTGGTGATTTCTAGAGTCGTAGAGCCATGGATTTCCGCTGGGAGCTCGTCTTTTTCCTGTAGGCCTTGGAGCCGAAGATCCCGAGTATTTGTATCGAGTAATATGGATTGGTTGGTTTACCACTTCGGTTCGGCAGCGGTTGATTTGTTGTTTCTTGTTGCCCGATTTAGGACCTCGAAGTGCGATCGGTGCCGGGATGTGTACTCATGGATTCCTTCTCCTCTTTCCGTAGTGTCCGTGGTTGTAGATCACGAGTATCTGTGTATTTGGATTTTGGTTATCTGAATTAATCCCTTCTGTTTGGCGTGGTTGATTTGGTGCTTCTCGTTGAATAACTTAGGACCTGGAAGCACGATCGATTGCTCAATGTGCTGGAGAGGGAGTCATATCCGTCGCTTATTGCATCATTGACTGGTTTTCTACCCTTTTGGTATTCGTTGATTGTGAAAAACATATTCTACCGGATTTGATTTGCAGATTGGTATCTGCCGGTTGGAGGCTTGCTCTTCCAGGATGCAGGAGTCTTGTTCTTCTTTCTCCTTCACTTGCGTTTGTTTTCAATTGATTTTTACTGTTCCCTTGGCGATGGAGATGTGATTCCTGTCGTATCCTCACCCTGAACAGATGTCCTCCGACTAATTGAATTAAGGGGCTACCGTACCGATAAGTATCTTGTGTCATTCTTCTGCCTCGGATGGTTACAGAGTTTTTTCAGTATCTTTTGAATTGGAGTTCAATTGTTCTTTCTGGCTTTTTGGATCTTCAGGAACTAAGTGGTGTTAGTTGGAAGAACTTAGATCCGTATATCTGATCAGGTAGTACTCGGTTATATGATATAATTCTTCTGGCTTTCCAATGTTCCGTTGTTCTTGGCTTCCTCCTTTGATTTCTTGTTGGTGGCTATTTTGGGTTGTAACTGTCAGGGGGAGATGAACTCTGCTGGGCTTGGAGCCTCTTTAGCAGATGGGATGCAGTACCGAGCATCATGTTAACATTGGTTACCCATACCTTCCTACCTGTTAACTGTTTTTCGCCGCTTTTTCAAAATGTCTGGTGTGCTATGATTTTATCATTCTTCTTCCATCTTCTGCAGAGATGTCAACATGTCTAGTGACAGAGTGTGCTTTGCGGGGTGATCGGTATCTGTCAATGGTCTTGTGGTTGGGAGGTTTAATGGATGTCCTGTGTTCCATTATGAGTAGTTTTCTGTTGTTTGGGTTGGTGAATAGTGACATCGTACTCGTTGGGTTTGCCGGTGTTTCTCAGGTGCAGTGGCACAGGACTTGACGAATGCGGAATGGTTTGGCTTATGTCTTGCTTCTCTTTCCTTTTCGGGTTGTTTGCTTGTTTCTATAGCTGTTTTTAAGTGAGTTCGTTTTGATATTCTACTACTTATGGACTGCTGCAGGGTGTAGATTTGGACTGTTCTCTTCCCATCATTCCGGGGATGCAGGAACCTTGTCCTACTAAGTTTTCTCTTTCTTTCACTTTTGGGTTAGATTTTAGATGTCAATTCCCTTCATGTTGGGCGGTGACTACTTTACTATTTTTCCATCCTGAGCAGATGTTTCCTGGCTAGCAGACTTTAGTCTACTGCGGATCTTCTGGATTGGAGTTCAATGGTTATCCCATGTTTCGGATTTTTTGGATCTTCAGGAACTGGTGGATGTTCGTATGAACTTAGATTCGTATATATTATCAGGGAGTAGTCTGTTATTTGATAAATTTTCTGGTTCCCTGTTCCATTGTTGTTGGCTTCCTCCTTTGATTTTTGTTGTTGGTAACTTCGGGGTTGTAACTCTCAGGGGGAGACGTACTATGGTAGCTTGGACCATCTTTAGCACAGATAGGGCGCGAAACTGAGTATAATGTCGAGACATGGGTTACCCTTACCCCTTGTTTTTCACTGGTTTCATGATTTCCATTGAGCAATGATTAATCATTCTTCTTCCATCTTTTGCACAGACATCGACCTGATTGGTTTGTGACAGCATGTACTTTGTCGGGTGACTAGTATCTGGCTCATTTGTCAATGTCCTGTGGTTGGGTGGTTTTGTGGACAGACTGTGTTTCATTACCGGTAGTTTTCTGTTGTTTGGGTTTGGGTTGGTGACATGGTGCTCTTTTGGTTTGCCAGTGTTTTCTTAGGCTGCAGTGGCGCGGATGCTAGGATGGATCGGATGGGGAAGTGTTCGGCTATGTGTCTTAGCATTCATTTTCTGGCTCGTTTCTTGTTCTTACAGTGGTCATGTTTAAGTAAATCCGTTTTGATGTATTACCACACCTGGATTGCTGCAGGGTGTTGCTTTGGACTGTTCTGCATATTGTTCTGTGGATGCAAGAACATTACATCACTAAGTTCTTCTATTTCCTTCACTTTTAGTGTTAGATATTAGATTTCAATTCTTTTCGCCAGTGAGACTGCCACTATTTGTGACCAATTTTCATCCTCAGCAGATATTTTCCCGGGCTAACTGGCTTCATCGGGCTGCTGTAGCCATGACTTTGTAGTGTCAATCTTGTGCTGAGTTATGTTGGAAAGATCTGCATATCTGATCAGGGAGTAGTCAATTGATAAATCTTCTAATTCCATTGTGTTCTTGGCTTCCTCCTTTGAATTCTGTTGGTGGTAATTTTGGGGTTTTAACTCTCAGGGGGTATGCTGGTTTGGGGCGTCTTTATCAGATAGGAAGCTAAGCCGAGCGTAATGTCAAGATATGGGTTACCTTATCTTCCTACATGTTCAATAGTTTTTCATTGTGTTTTGGAATTTCCATTGCACAATGATTCATTGTACTTGTCTTCCTCTTATGATTTTTGTTGGTGGTAATTTTGCTGTCTCCACTCTCAGGGGGTGATGTATTATACTAGCTTGGAGCATCTTTATCAGATAGGATGCTGAACCTAGTGTAATATGAAGACATAGACTACCCTTGCCCATCCCTACCTGTTAATTGTTTTTCACCGTGTTTAGGAATTCCATTGCGCATTGTTTCACCATTTGTCTTCTATCTTCTGCACAGGTGTCAATATGGTTGGTTAGTGACAGCGTGTGCTTTGCATGGGTGATTAGAGCCCGTCTCATCTGTCAACGGTCATGTGGTTGGGAGGTTTTGTGGACAGTCTGTGTTTCATTATAGGTAGTTTTCTGTTTGGGTTCGTGACATGGTGCTATTTGGGTTTGCTGGTGTGTTCTCAGGTTGCTGTAGCCAAGGATGGAACGGATGGTGGAGGTTTTGCTTTAATGTCTTGGCTGTCTTTCTTTTTCAGGTTGATTTCTTGACTTCATAGCTGGCTTATTTTAGTAAGTTCGTTTTGATGTACTACATCATCTGGATTGCTGCAAGGTATTGCTTTGGGCTGTACTGCGTATCATCCCGTCGATGCAGGAACCTTATCTTACTAAGTTCTCTTCCATTTACTTCTTAGCTACATTTAAGATTTCAATTCGTTTCACCAGATGGTGACTATTTGTGATTTAACTTTTATCTTGAGCTGATGTTTTCTCTTGGTAATTGACTCAGCGGGCTGTTGCAGCAATTAGTAAGCTGTGCCGTTCTGCTGCCTTCGATGGTTGGAGAGTTGTTTTAGCATCGTCTGAATTGGAGTGTATTGTTATCCCGTCTGTCTTACTTTTTGGATCTTCAGAAAATAATAGGTGTTTGTTGGAAGAACTTAGATTTGTATGTGTGAGCATGGAGTAGTCGGTTATATGATAGGTCTTCTAGTTTTTTAGTGTTCCATTTTACTTGGCTTTCTCTGTTCGTTGTAATTTTGGAGTTTCTAACTCTTATGGGAAGAGGTAGCCAGAATTGATGGTAAAACAAGCATAATGTCAAGACATAGGTAACTTGACCCTCCTACCGGTTAATTGTTTTTCGGAATTTAGATTGCACAATGCTTTGTGGTTCTTGTCTTCCTCCAATAACTTTAATTAGTAAATTTTGGGGTTGTAACTCTCAGGGTGGGGGCTATGCTTGGCTTGGAGCACTTTTAGCAGGTAGGATGCTAAAACGAGCATAATATCAAGTCATGGTTTACCCTCACCTTCCTACATATTAATTTCGAATTCCATTGGGCAGTAATTTATCATTCTTTTTCCTTCTTCTGCATGGATGTCGACATGAGTGGTTAGTGATAATGTGTGTTTTGCGGGGTTGTTCAGTATCTGTCATCTGTCAATGGACTTGTGGTTGGGAGGTTTTGTGGACAGTCTGTGCTTCATTGTAGGTAGTTTTCTGCTGTTTGGAAAATTTGTGACATTGTGCTCTTTGGGTTTACGGCATTATCTCACGGTTAAGCCCCACAGGATGGGGAAGAGTTTGGCTCATGTGTCTTAGCTGTCTTTATTATTTGGGGTTTTTAGCTGCCATGTTTAGGTAAGGTGGAATTGTGGTTGGGAGGTTTTGTGGATAGTCTGTGCTTCATTATAGGTAGTTTTCTGCTGTTCGGAAAAATGGTGACATGGTGCACTTTGGGTTTGCGGTATTATCTCGGTGCAGTGGTACAGGATGGTCAGGTTGGGGAAGGATTCGTGGCTTTTTTCAATGGTTTCTGTTGGTGGTAATTTTGTAGTTGGCTTCTTTTGGGTTGGCTGCCTGCTCGTTGGTTGATTTTGCACCCTTTTCACGCTTAGATCCCTAGTGAGATATGATATCGTACCTTCGTTATATCTGTTGTCACGAATTGAGGATTCATGCAGGGTGCTCCTTTAGACTGTTCTGCATATTGCTCTGCCCCACACTCTCATCTTATTTTTTTGCAAAGATACTTAACCTTTGGGCCGCAGTATACTTTTTTCCTTTGTTTTCCATGTGTGGATGTTGATTGCATTTGTTTGATGTCTATTTCCGCTTAGCTAGTGGAAGATCCACTAGCGTTTCCATTGACCTTCTGCATGTGCCTTTTGTTCACTGTTCTGTTGGTATTTTGGACCTACCCCTTCATCAAAATTATGTTTTCCATGCAGATATTACTGCGATTGGATCTTACTGCCTGAGATCGGAGATGACAAGCCCCTTTTTTCCTGTGATGTTCTTTCCAAATGACTTGGTTATGTGCTGACGTGTAGGTTCCAAGTGTTCGTTGACATGTTTGTGAGGCCACACTGATTTCTGCATGTTAATGGGTCGTTGTTTCTGCTGATTTGGTCCTACTACTTCCGAGGTTAGCTCGTCCTTTTTGGTTGTTGGGTGGCATCGACAAAGGAAAGAACGTTTCTGGGAAACTGACACTAGGTATAGGTACTTTCGAAGATAATGTAGTGCTCGTCCTTTTGGCTTTCCTACCTTACTGGCTTAGTCTACAGGATCTGACTTCAAGTACGGGTTTCTTGCTCTCCCAGTTTTATAGTAGTATGACTTCACTCTCTTGGTTAAGAGCGCTGTAATGAGTTGTATTGCACTGGTTGGGCGCTGGTGATTTCTTGCTTTTCATTCTCAGAATGAACCGTTTAGAGTGTATGACGTTTGGTTTGTCTATCATATCCATATCTGACCAGAGCATGGATATAAGCTTGTGGTGTCCTGACATCCTCTGGTTTGCTGTTGGCTGCTCTTGCTTTTCATTGTAAGGGTACACTGGTCTAGAATGGCGTCATTCCTCTTGTTCGAAGTATTGCTATTAGCGTCTGCTGACCAGAATGGTTTGGTGGTTCTCATGGTTGTAATCTCTATACCATGTTAGTTCAATAAATGATGCTCTGCTTTGCTGTCAATAAATCTTTGCCATTGTCAACATCGTGGTTGTACTTCTCCCGCAGCTATTTGTTTGTCTCATTGGTGATCCTGGTGGGTCTATGATTCTACAAGGCAATTGCTGCAGCATGGGAGTATTGGAAATGCTCCAGAGCAACGCGATAATTGGTCTTTATTTCTGATGCTATGAGCATTTGATTTATAGTTTCATTGTGTATCACTGCTACGAGTGTTGAGTTTATCACACTTTTTTTCCAGCAGTAGTTGGATGTCTAACCGGAGGGTTGATTTGGACTTGCCTAGCTCCTGATTCTTCTGTCATACTGGTTTCCATCCAGGGCCTGGTTTGCTTAATTGCTTTCTTCACATGAACATCGTGTTACGTGTTCATATCTCAACAGGAGACTTTTGGTGATTCTTTTGGTTGGAGGTAGTGAGCCTTGGATCTCGCCATATTGCAGGTGGCCTATGCAGGGTGGGTGAGTTTCGTTGCTTTCGACGAAGTATTACTTGGATTATGCCCTCCCATATGTGCCTGTAGTGTTGAACGTGAATGAAAATATTGTTCGTTGTGCTCTCAGCATTGATGGATTAGAAGGTCGGGTAGTGCCTACTGGAGTTTCTGGGTTGATTGCTCGCTCTCGGTCTTCCATTCATCCTTCAGTCTGTAATGCATCTCCCTAATATTGGACGACTTGTTATCCTTGTACTGGTGCTCTCGCTGCATGTGTGTTGGAAATATTTTGAATGCCAGGAAGGATCCGTGTTGCTTGTTGCTGCCTGTAATAGTGCGAGGAAGTTATAGTCCCTCGACGCGTTAGTTGGATCGTTATTTGCTTGTAGCTGCCTGCATTAGTACGAGGAAGTTGCATGGATGGTACTTGATTAAGTTCGATCGTCCGGGCTCTTGACCGTCTTTGACTTGTCTTGTCTTTGACTATGCTTGCGTGTTGTTCTAGAATAGGGCTTATGCATGTAACTTGGCCTGTGCACTCGACTTGTCGGTGCATGGACGGTCCCAAGCCCGTTAAAACAAGGAGGGCATGCTATTTGGTTGGTGGTTCGTATTGTTGCTGGCTGAGATATTTGTATAGAGGGGAGGTTTCCATCGTTGTACCTAGATACAGTAGACAAAGGTCAATCTTCTAGCCAATTAGTTCGGCTGGTTTTCTAGTTTAGGATTTATGCACGTACACCTGTCGTTGGATTTGTGTTTTCCAGAATTCCCAGATTGCGCTGTGTGGTTTTGTGGATTGGTCTTGCATTTATCGTCCTTCATGGGAGCTGGCAAATTCTTGACCGAAAAGGAAGTGTTTGAATGCAGTTTCTTTTCCGGATTACCACTTATTGTAGAGATGAACCATACTTCCCCCATGCTTTCAGGATGTGTGCCTTACGGGAGTGGTTCTTGATACTTCTACGTTCGAGGCTTGCCGGGTGACATTTACATGTATCTGTGTTTCCTTTCCTCTCGATTCAATGTAGTTCTTTGAAGAAGACGGTCTCCTCCTTTTAAGTGTCAAACCTCCATCATCCTGACCTACCACTTGGAGGTAGTGCCTTGGTCAGGACACAAGTGACCTAACTCGTTGAGTTTATGATGCTCTCTGAATGATTTCAGTTTAAGAAGCGCAGAATTAAGTCCTGGGGAGACACCGTCTGTGATCCATGGATCTCCGATTGGGAAATCGTATCCAAGCTCCGTGGCTAGTCTGCGCTCTTTGTTCTAGCTAATTTTGTTTTTGGCTTAACTGAAGTCCTAGCAAAGTTTGTATTTTGTTTTTGAAAAGGCTGAAGTCCTAGCTAAGTGCATATTTTGTTTTTGTCAAGTACCTTAATAAAAAATCATATCAAATAATCTTTCAAATTATTAAAGCTGAGTATAGATTTGAACAGATACCGAATATACAGTTATTCAAATATTGATATAAAAATATATTTATTTGTTAATAATGAAAATAGGATGAATTACACTATATTAAAATGCAATATTAATGTGTTTTTTTTTTCGAATCTAGAATTTTTAGTTTAGATCTTACTAAGTGAAAATGAGATGTATTACACGATGTTAATTATCCAATTTTGAAAATAGAATGTGCTAATTGTAGGGGTGAACAAAACAACTCGTTAACCGATCTAGCCGACCCAACCCAACCTGTAGAACCCGACCCAACTCGTATACCGATTATTATCATAAATGTTCGTATCCTAAATATATTTGTAAGAAATTTAAGATATTTTATCGTATTTTTCTCATGTGATTTCCCTAACGTAATACATACTTCTACTTAAAATTTAGACGTATATCTAATACATGGTACAATTCACATAATTTTTTGAGCGTACAATTTTAGAAGAATAATATATTATGAATGCGTTCTCTTATAGTCATTTTAGTTTATTTTGACAAATATTTGTGGGAAAAACTAAACCTATTTTGAAGCAAATTGTATTTCATTAAAATGTAAATATCATTTATGCATTTTGATACCTTTCGTATTGATTTATGTGTTTAAAAATTTAATTATTCATATAATATTTTGTGGTGTAGAATAGTTTTTTTTTTGGGTTGTGTTGGGTTGGATTTGTAGTTAAAATTATCTCCAACCCGACCCAACCCAACTATAAACAAATCGTAGGGTTTTAAAAAATTTTGGTGGCTTTGGATTTGATATTTTCAAAACCTTAGTGTATAGGCCGGGTGATTAAAATGATCAAACCCGAACCACCCGATCCATTTACACCCCCTAATTAATTGTTTATTTTCTATCTAATTCATTTTGAAATTTTCATGCTGGAAATTGTAGTTTAGATTTTTTTTTTTTAGTGACTTTAATCATCTCTAAAGTACAACTATTGTAATATGAAAAATATTTTCCTTTGTAAAGCATTTTTACGGTGAGACTAAGAAATCCAACCTCCGAAAGTCAATTCCTAGCTCTGCCTCTACCTTTGACATTTGATTAATTTCTTAACATTCATGCCAAGCATGGTGTTGGTATAAGTCGACACATATAGTTAGAGATTTATACGTGAAGACATCTAGCATGTCAATTTGGCTTGACATAAAGGTACATGAGTTATGTGAAGTTCGACTAAAGTGATGGACCGACCTAAAGGTGAGACACAAGACATGGATAACATATAAAGAAAGCCATCATGTGAACTTAAAAGTGTTATGAGTAACAGAGTAAGTAAAAAATCTTAAGACTTAAGCTTATCATAAGTGACCTATTTTGATATTATGCCTTACCGCCGTGACCGTCAAGTGCCTTGGTAACTGAAGCCCCTATCTTTGAATTCGATGTGCACGCGCGGATCTCCCTCTCCGCGTAGTTATTGTACCGAGTGTCCAAGGGATTTGAAGAAGCAAATATAAAAGATTGTTCTCGTAATTTAATTTTTAAGATATCATTGGGCCCTTCGATGGATTAGGTTTATAAATTATAAGTGGTTGGCGACCCAAATCAACTGAAGTGATTCATTTAAGCTTGAACTAATTAGGCACACATGGGACCGATTTAAAGGTGAATATATAATAAGCATGCCAAATTCATGGCTTGAATCTCGTAGCAATAATTTTTTTTGCTTGTTGACTTGGGTGGCATGGATTTGTTATTAGGCACCACTTAATTTATGACCTTAGGATCATTGTTGACGATACAATGGACCAATGGGTCCTACATTATGGATACGAATGAGAAGGTTGTAGAGGTGATATAAGGTTAACTCATTTTGACTGAATTAACACCACTGATTTTGCGAGGTTCACCTTATGACTAACAAAGAACATTGAGTGAGGAGAAAACCCTAAGACCTGTCTTCTCATTAGAAACTCTGCCTCTTATAGGCAGTTGAAAACCATTACAGGACAAGATCCATGGATGGTTTGTTTGGTAGCTTGGAAAGGAAAACAATACATGACTTGGACTTAAAGCAAAGTACACCCAAAAGAAGAAAGGAACGACATCGTTCCAACAAGTAAAAGAGTCTCGCCAGAACGGCATCGTTCGGAGAAGCAAGTTGTCTCACGAAACGACGCAGCAGAAGGAGAAACAGATCGCCAGTGATGAAACGTCGTCGCTGCGATGATGACCGTTGCAATTGAA